CGCTACCCGGATTCGAACCTGGGACCTTTGAATAAGAGGTGAACACCTTAACCTCTAGGCCACGAGAGCCCCCCTGTAAGACCCTGCCATACGTCATTTTTCAACATGACGTATGGCTGAGTCGTGGACAAAGCTGTCGATATAATAATATGCTCTGTCTAGGCTACGACAGAACACAGTGTGTTCATTTTGTACAGTCATGACTTGGATTATGGAAGGGCCACAATTTGTTACTTTACTAGACACGCACACAAAGCTATGAAATTATCTCCCTTACACCTAAAGACAGACGCATACAATGACATCGTACAATTGTACATGACGTACTTATATTATGGTGCTTCGGTACATAACTTCTGCTGACTCTCTCTCTCTCTCTCTCTCTCTCTCTCTCTCTCTCTCTCTCTCTCTCTCTCTCTCTCTCTCTCTCTCTCTCTCTCTCTCTCTCTTTCTTTTTACCACCCCTCCCAATCCTCTCACACAAAATTTAATTACATATTTCCCCTGATCTCATTTGCCCACTGCCCCCCCCCCAACCTCCCCATCCAAACTAAAGTAAATTCGACCTCCAAAAATCTAGGCAAGTTTTTGTTGTTGTTGTTATTTGCGCCAATCATTTCTCAGGTCACGGTGGGGTTTTTACGGTACATTTACACGTACATGTATTTTGTCTCGCCTGGTCTTGTTCAGTTTTCACAGAGGCATCACATTCACAAGAGGTGCACAACATGGCTTAGTCAAAAACAAAAAACAAAAAAAAACCCAATCACAAACACCGTATCAGTATACAAAATGTTTAATCAGGTCTGGTTATAGTGCCAAGTCGTTATAATACATCATGTATTTATTTATATTGCAACAATACAGGTACAAGGGCAATATTGCATTAAAGTCAAAGTGGGGCAAGGGTTTCAAAATTTAAATAGCGGACCCAAAAACAGAAAAACTCTTGTAGATCTGAAGAACAGCCAAGGGTTCGTCCACACCGTGATAGTTAACAGAAAAAGGGGGGCTCATTAGCAACACCTTAAAAAAAAAATAAATAAATAAACGATTGAGAAAAAATGTATGTGGGGCGTGAGAAGGGGGTTGGTAAATGTTCTGGGTTTTATTGGTGCAAATTTACTCTAGAGTCCTGTCGCTGAATGGAAGGAGGGGGGGGGGGAGGGGGAAAAAAGAGGGGGGGGTAATATAAACAAACCCACAGTGTCCCAACAGGAAACACAATGCCTCTCGAGGTGTTGAAAAGAACACATGAGCATGCTAAGAAAGATAAACATGATATCATCTAATTACTGGTGTCCTTTTCTTCCTTTTTTCTTCATCTTAACTTTCTATACTGAAGGCTGAATGGGACACAGAGATCCAGCAGACAGAAAGAGATACTCGGCTAAAAGAAAAAAACAACTTGATCTCCACTGGGAACCGAACTCACATCTTCAGCATGTAACAGCATACCACAGAGCACATGTCCTGTGATGTCCAAGACAGTCTTGTACATATAGAGAAACTTTAATCTTATGTTTCATAAATTGATATGTGGGTTAACAATTGCTCGTTTTTACGCACAAGGGGGCTATCCCGAAAAATGCTGTTTTGAGAAAATCGAAGGTAAAGTTCTTGAACCCTTGTTCAGTTTCTTTAAAAGACAAGGAGAGTTTTCTCTATATAGCTAAACAAGTATACACATCAATGTAATCAAAATGCATGGTAGGGCAATGCCCACTTTTGGTGTACGTCAAGATTTCTGGAAACCCCGAGAATCTGGGTTAGCCCGCTTGTCTTTAAAAGCGACCAATTGTGACTGAAACTGTTCTATACAGACTATATACCCCCATCTACACAATCTTGATAATTTAGGGAGCGTGTTGCTTCAAACCCCGCTTATCATCAGGGCGAATCCGGATTAAGCGGGTTGTAGAAACCCAACTGACAGACGGGGGAACTAGATCAAACATC